GTTTTAAAGCAATAACTGAGAAAATGACATGAAGGCTGTGTTGACCAGTTTGATGGAAGTATTTCAGATTGCATGTGAAAACCCCACACTGTACCCCAGGAGACACACACACACACACACACACACACTCCACATACTCGCAGAGTTAACCTCTAGTTCCAGTTTGACAACCCAGGTTTTTTTCCTCTTTCCTGCATTTAACATTCAGATCTTTTTCAGTGAAAACTCTAGCTCCCCAAATATAAATATACTTATTTGCTTAGTCCTCTAATGGACACAAACTACTTCTATGAATCTACTATGTCAATTTTAAGATTTCTTTGCACCTTTTTTGTTGTTAGAATATATCCCACTGAGAGTATGCCAGCAGCATGTCATGTTCAGAATTATTTGGACTAATCCTTTCTCCCCCCTCTGTGTATAACATTGTTGATTTGATATACAGCTAAGTTCTTGAAGCAAGGGTGTTCTTATTTGAAGGGTAAGATGCTGTTGAGTCTTCTGACTCTGCTTTTCTTTTGTTTCTGCACAATTCTGAACCTCCACCTCTTCCTTCCTTCTTTCCCTTTACCCTCAAGTCTCAAGAGGCACCTTCCCCAGTCAGAGAAAGCTGACTTTCTCTCCCCAGGAGCAGCCCATGAGACTAAACCCCTGCCTTTTCAAGGCCCTTCTGTTTGATTTCCCGAGAGCTCCTCTTCTGACACCTCTACAGCAATCACCAGGCTCTGCTTGTTAGACTTAAGCCACGGCCCAAGGCTGGGCCCAAGGAAGAGACTACCTTGAAAATGTGGCATTTATGCTTGAATTAGAAAAATGAGAAACCATAAACAGGCCGAAAAGGGGGAAATAAAGAAATAAAAAAATGTAGTCTTTTTTTAACAAAAATCTCAGACACACTGTGTATCAAACAATACCCAGCCAAGGTTCACCTTTTGCCAGCCCCTTCTTCATGGCAAAATGTAAACACCTCTTCCCAGGAACATTTAATATTCCCAAACATTAATTTTACTATTGTCTTCTTTTTAGTCTTTAGAAGCAGAGATGAAGAAACTTCAAAACTCTATTCACGAAAGCACACAGAATTTTGATGAACTTTTGAAAAGACTCTTTGAAAGGAGAGTAATGGCAGAGATGGTTGTCAACCAGGTACAGAGAAGCTTTACCTACTCGACTTGTGACTTTTTCGTTTAGGGAGGCTCCATAGGCCTTTTATTGTTCTTAGAACACAGGCTAACACCTTCCCCAGTGTGGAGGCCCTGGGCCCCTCCCCAGCCTCATCTTTGCCACCCTCCCTCTTTTGATGTCTTACACACACCTGGCACCCTCGTTCCTCACAACTCTTCTGATTTACTAATCATACTCTCTAGCAACTTCCACGCCTCCTGGACTGTACTCATCCTTCAGGTCTCAGCTAAAAAGTTAGTTCCCTAGACCACTCTCTATCTTCCTACTATACAGGATGTCCATAAAATTCACGCAATTTAAAATAGCTGGCTATGGACAACTTTATGGACACCCTATATATTTTCTTCTTTTCTTTTCTATCATATATTGCTGAATTTTAATTTATGTGAGATTATTTCTTAATGTCTTCAGGAGTATGGACTACTTAATGCTTTCAGTCCCTTAAGAGTAGGGACTAAGATTGTCTTGTTCATCTCTATATCTCCAGCAAGTAGCAAAGGACTTGGTTTATAGTATATATGTGTGTATATCTATATAGAGAGATATACTCACACACATATATATGTGTGTGTGTCTATTTTTGGGGTTTTTTTTAATTTTTATTTTATTTTATTTTTTTTTATTTTTTTTGAGAGAGAGTCTCATTCTGTCACTCCAGGCCAGAGTGCTGTGGCCTCAGCCTAGCTCATAAACTCCTAGGTTCAAGCAATCCTCCTGCCTCAGACTCCTGAGTAGCTGAGACTACAGGTGCCTACACCTAGCTAATTTTTCTATTTTTAGTAGAGACAGGGGTCTTGCTCCCACTCAGGCTGGTTTCAAACTCCTGAGCTCACATAGTTTATATTGAATAAATGAATAATTCTCATGCCTGAAAGACCAGAAGAAAAACCCGTCTTAATTTCATTCAGCAGTAGGTATATAAATGAAGTGTGCAGTAGCTAGAAGCAAGAAAATCAAGGAGGGATGCCTTTAAATTGTGAGAGAAAACTACTTCTAACATGGGATTCTATTCCCACCCTCTCAAATGAGTTTAAGAGGAGAATAATGATATTTTGAGAAGTACAAGTCTCCCAAATTTGCATGCTCTCGTTCTCAGAGAGATATTGGAGGATGTGCCTCAGCAGAGCAAGGGGGTGAACAAGAAATGATGATGGAGCACTGAGAGATATGAAGGGCAGCTCCAGGAGGATGGCTGTCTCCTAGGATCTTAACAGGAACAGTATACAGGACTGGTCACATTTAACAGAATTTAATTTTTTTTTTTTTGAGACAGAGCCTCAAGCTATCCCCCCTGGGTAGAGTGCCATGGCATCACACTCACAGCAACCTCCAACTCCTGGGCTCAAGCGAGTCTCCTGCCTCAGCCTCCCAAGTAGCTGGGACTATAGGCACCCACCACAACGCCCGGCCATTTTTTGGTTGCAGCCATCATTGTTGTTTGGCGGGCCCGGGCTGGGGATTCGAACCCGCCACCTTAGGTGTATGTGGCTGGCGCCTTAGCCGCCTGAGCCACAGGCACCGAGCCAACAGAATTTAATGAAGGGACTTTCTACAGATGTATGGACAGGGTTAAGGGAAACAGCAAGGAATGATAAACATCTTGAGATTGGAAGCCATTGGCCACTTGTACCATCTCCAGAGCTAAGGGAAGCTTAGAGGCATGGGAAGAGAGCTGTCCTCATGGCTACAGGAAAGGGCTGCTTCTCAGGAGCTGTGGCCATAGACAGAAGACCATAAAGGGGGAAATGACAGGGAGGCATGTGTGTAAAGAGTGGAAGAAGGGAGAAGATAGGGAATGAATGTTCCTGTAGTAGTCATAACAGCCAAAAGGTGGAAACAATCCAGATAACCAACAGCTGTGAATGGATAAATCCAATATGGCTCCTGCATGTATGCAGTGGAATAATATTATATTTAGCAATAAAAAGAAATGAAGTGTTAATGCATGCCGTGACATGGAGAAACTTTGAAAACATGCTAAATCAAAGAAGCCAGACACCAAAGGCCACATACTGTGTAACTCCATTTATATGAAATATCCAGAATAGGCAAATCTATAGACTCATAAATTATATAAGTCACTGCTTTAGGGGCAGGGAGGAGGCCTATGGGAGGTAGAGGGTATTAACAGAAAATAACTGCTGAAAGATTTCCTTTCAGACTGATAAAATTTCTAATCAGACTGATTGTGGTAATGACTACACAACTTTCTGAATATACCAAAAACTAAAAATTACACACTATACTAAGATCATACACTTTAAATAGTGAATTGTGTGGTATGTGAATTATATCTCAATAAAACTGTTATTTAGAAAAATATATGCTCAGAACATCTTGTCACACAAAATAATTAGGGAATATCAAAAGGACTCAGGAGCCAACTTAAAATATCTCCCCTAATTAGACAATTTAAGATTCAAAGCTGGCAATAATCATAGCTAATTGAAACCTACCAAATTTATTTAGATTAATGAATTTGTCATTTTTAATAAGAAAAATGTTAATTGGTCACTTTCAGAGGATGACAGCCAGTTCATTATCTACAAACTGAGAAAGGGAGAGTATCAAGCATTTGTTCTGCCTTTCCTGTATGAACTGTGCCACTGGCTAACCAAACAGTAGATAAGGAGAAACAACTTTTTATTGAAGTCACCATTCTGCATCTCTTAGTGGGTTAATGGACCTTGACCTAGAGTAGCTATAGCTGCTGACATTACAGAAAGAAAGACAACCAGATGTTATATGTCTACTTGTCAAAGAACGTGGTCTCACTGTGGTCTTGTTAAAAGCAGCAAACCTAGATGTGATCAGGCCTCTGGACCCAGCTGCCAATCTTCAGGAAATACAAAGGATGAAGAGGCTGATGAGTATGTAGTCAGTAAAACCCAGACTAGGGAAAACTACAGAGACTGCTGACAACTAAAAATAAGGGAAAGGAAAAGAAAGGGATAAAAGGGAACATGAAGATTCTAAGAGAATTAAAAGATGTGACAATTTTTTAAATGAATAAGTTATACCATAATGCCTGTGTTTCTGTCTTAGTCCATTTTGTGTTACTTGGGAAGGAATACCTAAGGCTGGGTAATTTTTAAAGGAAATGGTTTATTTGGCTCACAATTCTGCTGGCTGGGAAGTTCAATACTGGATTTCTAGTGAGGGCCTCAGGCTGCTCCCTCTTGTGGCAGAAGGCAAAGGAGGATCTGCATGTGCAGAGACCACATGGTGAAAGAGGAAGCAGGAGAGACAGAGAAGAGTACCAAGCTCTTTATAACAACCTGCTCTCTAGGGAGCTGCTAGAGTGGCAGTACTCACTCGCTCGTGAAGGAGGGCATTAATCTATTCATAAAGGACCTATCCCCAAGACCCAAACACCTCCCATTAGGCTCTACCTCCAACATTGGGGATCGAATTTCAACATGAGGTTTGGAAGAGATAAATATCCAAACCATAGCAGTATACACACTTGGGCAATAAAACTACAAAGAAACACAAGGAAGTTATTACTGTAAAAGTCAGTATAGTGGTTAATGTTGGGGTTGAGATATTGACGAGGACCCCTGGAAGGTGCTTCTTCAGTGGAAAGTTCTATTTCTTGAATTGAGTGGTGATAACAAGGGTATTTTCCTCTAGAATAACTTATTAAACTACATGTTGGTATCATGTATTTGTCTGTATATGTGTTTTGCCTCATAGTAAAATGATGAACAGGCAAAGTAACTGAATAGTTATTACAACAACCTATATTCCCCCTTTATTTAAAGGATTTCTCTTATATGTCATAAACTTGTTGGATTAGTGTCAAGTCTATGACCATCAATAGAAAGTCCTTTCTCAGATAATAGTATTGATCATTCCCCCCCTCTTTTTTTCTCCCAAAATATTTCTACAGGAGGAATTGAAAATAAATAATCTTGTTTTTTCTTTACTGTTGGATGAAGAATTATGCTCTAGAGAATTATTCCTGAACAACTACCTTGCAAGGAAGCAGGTAGAGAAAGTAAGTGTAGGGTCTGGTGTCTGAGTACAAGCCTCTTCTAATAGCCATGTCATGTTTGAACAAGAGCTCACAGGTCTAGATGCTTTCTTGCTTCCTTTCACCATTCCTATTCAACCGTGTGTATCCCTTGGCTTCCTGTCTGGGACTTCGCTTGAGGGCTGGGTGAATATACGTTATGTAATATTATCTGATTCTGCATCATTTAGTCAAAAGAACTGTGTAGCTTTGGCACGACATGTGGTTTATAAAATGAGGCCATGTCATGTCATAGTTTAAAGCACCAGCTTTTAACCACTGACTGGCTGTGGGACCTTGGATAAGACATAAAAACTTTTTAGCTGTGTAGAAGGTCTTCTTTAGGTCATATTGCTTTCTCTGGACCATTGGATACTCTGCATTTTACACACAAAAAAATTGTCATACTGTGAAAAACTCTATCTCAATATGAGCATGAATAAATATGGTCCATTAAATATGGTTCACATAAGTTTCAACAGATGTCAGCTTTTATTAGTAGTATTAATAAAGGATATTTATGAATGCATAACATTATATCATAATGCCATATGAACTAACTTTTTTCTAAGAGTCTGTTAAGCAGTGTGTGTAAACCACCTTCTAAATATAACCCAACTCATTAACAACCCTGCAGCATACTAGATTACTTTCACAGATTACTTTCCTTCAGAGAGGCTGGGTGACATGCCTAAGTCACCCACTAGTATATAACAGAGCAAGAATTGGGACTGTGGAAATAGATGACGCCCATCCAAATGAGAATAAACAGAGGCTATTTAGTCAGAGTTTGGCACATAGCAAAGGAACTGGCCACTATCACTTGCATTTGGCAGAGACTGAAAGGCAGGCAAAGGACTGGGAAAGCTTTATAGTGAAAAGAAGGGAGGGCTTCAGGTACACCCTGATCAGAAGTTGTTGCCTTGAGGAAGCTGGAGGCAAACCAATTAGAAGGAGGACAACCTAAGTGTTTGGTTTGTGGAAAATAGTTGGCTTTCTCCACAGCCAAAGTTGGAAATGGGGACCAAAATTAGAGAATCTGGCAGTTATTGATCAAGTTCTAACAGTTTGAGGCTAGTCACTATAAAGATTGTGGGTTAGCTGGTTGCTGCAGGGGTTGTGGGTCAAGTTCTACTTTTATGAATAAAAGTTGTCTGTAAACATATTCAGTTTCTCAGAACCCAGGTCTGTGCAACTCCCAAGCCTGTGCACTTTCATCAGTCCACACTGTCCTGCCAAGAATGCAGGGTGCTCCATAGACTCACTGACATATAGATCTGGCTCTACTGAGAAGCAGGTGATGGAATGTTTATTCTTTCAAAGTCCTTAAATGGATTCTTTTCTTCTATAAATATCATCTGTAATGGATAACACACTTATTTAGTGCTAGAAAATCCCCTGTTCTTTTTAGAATCTCCAATATTTTTGTTTACATCAAAAAGTCTCCAGTTCCAATTAACTATTTCTAATGTTATTATAGTGCCAGACTTCAGAAGCCATCCAGAAAGCTAAAGAGAACCTCGATTTGTACAAGGAACACTATGACAACTTACTGGCCGAAGACAAAGTGAGAGTCATTATCTTAACAATGTAACAGAGTTATTGCTGCCTGGATTTGGGGAAGGATAAAAGGGATATAATTTAATTTCCTTACAGATTTTTTCCTACTATATTTTTCAGTTATGGGTAAACATCATTGTATGCCATTGTATATTTCTAAAAATCCCTTGAGTAAAATGAATTTTTATTAACTTCTCTGGTTTAAGCTTTCTCTTATGCAAAAAATAGGGAGATCATCTAGCTTTTAGGGATTTTTTTTCAACTTCAGGTTGCATATTCCATTAGCTGAGAAATCAATTTAGGCTATGACCAGAAGTTTTATAATGGAAAAGAATAAGATAGAATAGCCTAAAGAAGATGGAATGAAATGGAATAGAATAGAATAGAAGTAACTTGCATTCTTTGTAGGTACACTTAAACACTACTTTGGGAAACTTCTCTTTCCCAAAACAAAAAGTTTCTGAACAAAGTTGCAATCCTCACAATGATATGTTTGTCCTTAGGTTCTGGATCGAAGCTTTAAAAAGGAATTTTCTGATATTCACAGTCACCAAGTTGAAATACTTTACAAACTCTTTAAACGTAGACCAAGGTTTGTTTCTCCTCTGCTGTTATGTTTCTGGGAAAATGTTTATAAGTGAAAAGAAGTGTTGCTGAATTTCAGATTTCTTCTCCCAATTAGATGAAAATATTCAGTATAACATCTTTTAAGTGGACATATTTAAATGTCTTGATCACAATTCAGTGGTTTTTGAAATTATGCCTGTGTCTTATGGTAAGGAATGTAGAATAATGATTTCTTTTCATTATTTAAAATTGTCAAAGTATCTATGTAAGCATTTCACAATTGTAGGTTCTACTTTATACATAAAAGCAGTTCCTTTTAAGTCATAGATGGCACAATTTTTCCCAAGGTGTATTCAACAAATATGATTCCCCTGTAGTATGAATTGGAATTGCATATAATAGGATTCTAGGACTAAGTAAATTTGGGAGACATACTATTTTTTTTAATAAAAAAATGAATGGCTTTCTTTGCTGCAAAATTTCTCAGAACTTGTTTAAATCCTAACCCTACCACCTTTCAGTTATTAGCCTTTAGATCTCCAAGTAAAAGAAAAAGAGAAAGCAGTGTTTTACACAATTGTCTGGTCACAAATAGCTTTTTCCTTAAGATAAAGTTTGAAAAATGTCAGTATGAATAGTAGTAGATAGACATTTTCAAAAGAGTTCTAAAATAACCTGATTTTTTTCTTAGGATAGCTTTAGAATCACATACCATTGACTTTTAACATTATACTTTCAGATTCTCATAATTTTTCAGTCAAACATAATCTAAAATCATGGAATTTGTCACAAAGGTGTAGGGTAATTTCTGAGCTATGAAGTCTGACAATTAATTTAGTGAACTAATCCTTTAAAAAGTGCTACATACCTCATCGCTCAGTACTTTTGGTCACCTTCAAATTACTTCTCCTTGGGAAGCTATGCAGCAATGCCAGTGACTATTCCACCTTTCAAAGCAATTTGGAACTCTTTTTCTGGAATGGCCATCAGAGCTGTTGTTGTATTACGTTGTTATCCTGAATGTCAGCAAAATGTCTTCCTTTCAATATTTCCCTTAAATTTGGGTAAAGAAGAAAGTCATTGGAAACCAGATCAGGTGAGTAGGGAGGGTGTTCCAATACAGTTCTTCACTGGCTAGACACTCCCTCACAGACAGTGCTATGTGAGCTGGTGCATCGTCATAATGCAAGAGCCACACCTGTCTCATGCCAAGATTTTCAGTTAAGATTTTCCTGTTTTTCTGTTGATGTTTACTTGGTCTACTTTGCTTCTCACAGTCAGCCTATGATTTTCTTGACACACAATTTGATGAATTTTTGCAATGTTTTCATCAGTTCTGCTGTTATTGGCCACCCTGACCTCTCTTCATCAGTGATGCTTCTCTCCCCTCAGAAAAACATTTAATCTATTTGTACACTGCCATTTCCCCACAAATTTGTACTACCATGTCCTTGATTTCATTTTCACTTTTGCCAAGTTTAACAAGAAATGTAATGTATATTCAATGCTCTAATTCAAGCTCCAACATTCTCACAATGGCATATAAAAACATGCAACAATCATGAACACTGCTTAGCAAGACACCGCCATATTTCAACACGAACATAGCTGTGAGACACTGATATATTAAGGTTATGAAACCTTACCAAGTTGTTTGTACAGTACTGCCAACATAAGTGCATGGCGGCAAGTTTGTGAACTTAATTGTCAGACCTGTACAAACTCATTCTCTCACCTGTGACAGGTTACATGAATTTAGGAATTTAACCTAAAGCATGCCTCATGTCTTGGTTTCCCTATTTTTTTCTTTTTTTTTAGACAGAGTCTCACTATGTCACCTTTGGTAGAGTGCCATGGCATTACAGCTCACAGCAACCTCAAACTCCTAGGCTTAAGCGATTCTCCTGCCTCAGCCTCCCAAGTAGCTGAGACTACGGGTGCCTGCCACAACACCTGGCTATTTTTTGGTTGCAGTTGTCATTGTTGTTTAGCTGGCCCAGGCTAGGTGCAAACCCACCAGTTTCAATGTATATGGCTGGTGCCCTACTTACTGAGCTATGGGTACCAAGCCATGGTGTTCCTATTTTTAAAGGAGTGAGCTATAATAAGTCCAAGTACATTCCTTTTCCTTGTAAAGAAAGAAGTGAGACTTGTTGTATTTTGGGAAGCAACAGTAGGAAAAGCAAAATCTTTGTTGTCAAAGAGAGTCAGTTTTAAATCCTAACTCTACTACCTTTCAGATTCGTAGCCCTGGGGCAAAAGCTTCTCTCAGAGCCTGGCTTTCCTAATCTAGAGAAAGGAGATGACAATACAGTACTAACTTCCCAATGTCTTAGAAAGCACTTGATAGTGAGGGCCCTGCACAAATTTTTGTATCCCATTTCCTTTCCCATCTGCAGCCCACGAAAAGAAAACTAATTTATTAATGTAGATTAAAAGAGGCACTTCTCCAGTTTCACATACTTTTTCTTTTTTTTAAGTTTTTGGCCGGGGCTGGATTTGAACACCACCACCTTTGGCATATGGGGCCAGTGCCCTACTCCTTTGAGCCACAGGCACCGCTCCCAGTTTCACATACTTCTAAACATATTACTGGCTACTCACCTGCAAAGAAGATGCCAACAGAGAATGTGTAAGACAGAGCCAGAGAACACCCACACTTCTCCTGGGCATTTATTTGCCTGTTTATAATACACTGAAGGAAGACATATCCTAACATGGGTAGAGCTGTCAGTGCTGACCACAGGGACTTCTATAGTCCAGTCAGGGTCATCTGGAATACAGAGAGTGTGGGTGCTTTTCACTGTGGAATAGTCCACCCACTAGCCTTCAAGTGCCAAAGGAAAGTGCCTTACAGTGTATCATGCCTATGTCTGATTATTTAACATTTGGGTTTTTATGAGAATGTGAAATGTTGATGGGCTTTTCTTGATAATACCAGGATTCACAAGCAGAAAACACACTCAGAAACGATCATTATTGTCCCTTTTGGAGAACGACCAGGACCTGGCAAGTCAAATAAGGACAACTCTGCCCAGTTAATGAAAGCCATGGATGAGTTGGACAGTGTTAGTAACATGCCAGAAGGCTTGGACCTCTCTGTCTGGGAACATTTCTGCATAATCAGACGAACAAAAATGGAAAATGAACAGAAAGTATATAATTTAATTTCATTCTTAGTGTAATAGCAAATATATAGTTTACATAGTCAGTGCACAAAAGCTAATTATTTAGACTTTCCTGCTAGAATATAAGTTGGTAATAGTGATAATAAAATAATGAATAATATATTAACTTTAGTTCTATTGAGAACTAAGTGTAGGCTTGTGCTCGTGGACTGGCACTGTCCAAAATAGTGGCCACTGGCTACATGTGGTCATTGTGCACTTGAAATAAATGTGGCCAGTCCTAATTGAGATATGCTGTACATGGAAAATTTAGAACACTTAGTATTTAATAACAAAAAAAGAATGAAGGCTCGGCGCCTGTGGCTCAAGCGGCTAAGGCGC